CATTGTCCGTAACAATGAGATGTTTTTAATTTGATATATCGAATTCAGTACTATCTAATTCCTGTAATACGTTTCTGAGTCGATTAGATTAAAAAAATAAAGCAAATCGATATCGTGTAGTCGATCAACAGTTAGCTTAGTACGATCAAGATTTCATAATTAATACATGTATATTATACTTGTACAGATATTTGTTCCTCGTTAGTTTAGCACGTAGATGTCATTACGTTAGAAAAGATACAGATAGTCTCTTTATTTCTCTTTCCGGCCACGTTAATGTTCTACAACCTTTTCACCTTTCTGAGCATCCCCATTTCCACTAATTTTCAGCCTCTATGGTCTCAGCACTTCCATTGTTATTCTCTAAAAAAGAATATTTTACTTGGTGCAGGAGAAATTATGCCTTCAGTGTCACATCGTTCTTACAAAGCGTTTTATTTTTTTCATTCTTAATGAGGAGCAATAAGGTAAATTCTTGAAACATAACAGTAGATTTCCTTTGAACGTGTTGAATATGTGTATTGTCTAATCGTCTAATATTTAAGAGGGTAATTGTAAATCTTAGTGTCAAGTTATTTATAGCTTCTAGAAGAAGTTAATGATATGTAAAAAGTTATTTAAAACCGATTTTCTGTACGTTAACTTTCCTGAAGTAGTAACAGCATGTTGTTGCGATCAGTGAAATATGGTTGTAGTTAATGGCAATCGATAAGTTTTATGAACCGGACTGTATGAAAGGAACGTAAAAAGATAAATGAAGCAACATTTATTACGCACTTTGACATTTGAGAAAATTTATCAATGATTAATGTTGAATTGGTAGTTAGTTTTTGTTCCATAGATTTATTTGGGCGGTAGATATCTTTTGAAATATGAGTATGAAGATAAGTAACATTTTAAATAACGCATACTCGCACTTGAAAATCTCATGACATAAGTTATATTCGTTGAAACTAATATTCGATTATATAAAATGAAAGAATATCCTTTCCATTTAAGTGTTAACATAATTTTTACATAACCTGCGATGAAAGAAAAGAAATACCTCATCTCTGCAATTGCTATACTTTTTATTGGTACTTTTGTGTTACTTCAATTTCGTAATTTATCAAAGAAAATTGTTTCCTGGATTCACGGAGGAGTATGATGGAAAATTGCAGGAAAAGCTTGAAGAGTTCCTTACAGTTGGTAACGGTAGCTTTCACTGTACGCTTTTCAATGTATGTTCGTATATACGCATAATATTTCGTAGCTCGGTGATTTTCACACGCAGACGGAAGTTACTTATACATATGTGGTGAAACAAATGAGGGCCTTGCGTCTTGGAGATTTAAAGCTCGACAACGCAGCAGAGAGTTTCAGCATCACGGCCACCACCTCCATCTTCTTTCTCCTTCTTTTTCCTGTTTCTTCTTACCTTTGTCTCGTCTTCACCTATACCCCTATTCGTCTCTGTTCTGCTACGATCCGAATCTCGACATGAAATAAGATGAGAGTAAATACTCGAAGTCGTCTCCGAGTACATGGGCGTTTGGCACCAAACCAAATTCCACCGACAGAAGGTATATCATCTCTAGGAAGTGACCGAACATACTTATATATACAGTGTCCCTTTTGAAATCATTCTCGTAGCTTATTTCCGAGTGACGACGATAACGATATTACTTCATGGAAACGTTTAAACTGTGAAAAGTAGAACACGAAGATATTTCGCTCTTCAATTAAATCTTCCTTGTTGACCAGGAAAATAACGTGCTTTATACTTATAAGGATGGAATAATTTGTTTCATTGTCTAATTACATTAAGAGAAAATTGAGTAGTTAAAATGGCAAATGATATCTTTAATAAGAAAGGATGTAATTTCGATAAAAGTTGAAGCAATAGAAATTGATTGAAATCTTTGTTGTTAGGATTAATCGAGTTCACTGATAGTAAAAGAGATCGATATGTAGCCAGACGCGAATCCTTACATGGTACTTTATATAAATTACTAAAAAAGAGAAGCACAAGTTTTTTTTTATTAATTTTACGTAAGGAAGTCTTTACTTTTTAAATTTCATTCCCTTAAAACTTGATAAAAACAAGTTGAGATACATAATTTGAATTCCATTTAATTGTAAATTTGTTATATTTAATTTTTAATAGTTTCGCGGTTAACGGAATATCATTCTAGCGAGAGGTTTCGTGTAAATAATTTATACACGACGTATAACGATACTAACGAGTAATATTGTGGTTTACAATATGCAGGCAAGAGCTCGGTCGTACTGAGATGGTCACTTGCAACAGTTTGCTAATTATCGCCAATTAATCTGACTGTACAGTGTTTATTCATTTGTCATCGTAGCGTGAAATGTGGATACGAATGTTATAACGATGTGTTTCCCGTGTGTTGAATTCGTTATTGATCATTTGGCTATTGAACTTAGCCCACGTGGCTATGGTATATTTTCCATTATTATGGCAATCCTTTAACACTAAACCTACCGGCGCGGTTAAATTGACCGCTCTTGCGACTTCTATACAAATTTAACCATATTTAAACTTTATGATATCGCTTCACAATTGCAGCTAGTCCTCCCTTTCATTCTCCTGATTTCCTTTAACACTAAACCTATCGGCACGGTCAAACTGGCCGCTCTCGCGACTTCTACACAAAGTTAACCATATTGAAACTTTATCTTATCGCTTCATAATTTATGACTTTTCCTAAAACATGCATACAGTATATTTTTCGGTATTTAATTTTAGTTTGCTCTTTTATTGTCTGAGAAAGATGTGTACTCTGCCTTGCTTACCGTGAGCGATCATTTTGACCTCCCTACAAAATATGTTAGTTATTCTTAAAATAAATGCAATCAGTACAAAGAAAAGGCTATTTTAAGGTCAGATGACAAACAAAATCAGTAATAACAAATAATAACAACTGTTACACCCGCTGTTACACAAGATAGCCACCAGCAGTCAAGACATATCAACTCAGGTCCATAATAATCCTAAGGAACCGCCACAAATGTTTGCATTTTTTACAGTCTATTGTTACAAACATTTTAAAAGTTGAGAAGTTTCTTAGGGTTATTGCTCATTGCTATAAAACACGGGAAAAGCTGTCTCAACTCCACCCTCGAGTAACCGTTGGTGAAGAACGGTCAATACTCATCAATATTTTCGTATAAATATCGCCGTCACAGATCATATTTTTATTTGCTATTGCCTTTTCGACTAGAATACATCTCGGTTTCTAATCGATTAGTCGATTTTGTTAGTAAGTCGATTGATCGTATTTGTTATCTCTTAAACGCAGGCAGAAAGTATCTCAGAGTGTTTTGTGTAAAGTTGTTATAAAAGGAAAAATAAAGCATATCAAATTTGACAATAACTTTTGTATTCCGTACATGGTATTATCCTGTGATAAATGTTTGCCCTAGAAATGTCATGATTTTTCAAAAAAAAAATTATAAAAAAAAGAATGACAGACATAGAAGAAGACTGTTCAGTGTTATCGTTGACAGCAGAGAGTGAAACTGGGCCCGATGGAACAGTTTGGAAAGATAGATGCAAGTCCCAAACCTGGTAGGACATCAGTTCATAATATTTTTGGGGATATGCTAAACGGCATATAATGAAAGGACAAGTAAAGACGGCATTTTATCTTATCATTGATCACCGTATAAGGGATTATATAATGAAATGTACGGAAGAAGTATTTAGAGTATTGGGGACTAAGAAGGAGCTAGATGCAACAAAACTGCTCTGCTATATGCCCGCGGTGTATATCAGGCAAAAAATTTAAATGTTTTATATTTGTGGAATAAAATTTGGAGACCTGCATTTTTTTCAAAAACAATGAGCAGGAATGACTTTGCTGAAATTATGAGGTTTATACAATTTGATAAGAAGAGTGAAAGAAGCCAACGTTTACGAACCAATAAATTTGCAATGGTATCTACAGTATGGGGCCAATTTACAGACAATTCACAAAATTGTTATAAATCTAGTGCATACATTACTTTTATATAAAGAATCGCGGGAAAAAAGCCATGCAATAAAACTATCAACAAGTTCAGATTCATTGCTACAAAAAACTTGTCAAGTAAAAAATGTTTTTGTTTAATATGCGGGAAATATTTATGTGACAAATGTACATTTGATAATAAGATAATTTGTAAAAAATGCAACAAAGTTGAATAAGATATATCTCTATATAAATAAAAGTGTAATTCTATTTAAGTCTATAATTGAAATTAAACAAACGTAAATTTGGACGAAATTTTATGAAGGTTCATCATTTTATATACATTTAGTTATAAATTAACCATTATCTAAGTTAAATCATAAAAACTATTACTTCTTTATGTATGCAAATGTATAATAATAATAAGTAATAATAAGTAAAAATGTATAATAATAATGTATTGCAAATGTTAGTTTGTTTCTATTGAATTTTAAGATTATCTGTTTAATCAACATTTTTTGACGTAAAAGTATAAGGAGATCCGTACTTGAACAGAATTTATCATGTGAATGATGCTTTTATTTAATTCGTATTATTTGAAATTATGTAATACTATTTAATATTAAGTTTATGCAGTTACATATACCAAAATACTTGTACCGTTGTGTGTTGTATTTAATTCTGTAGTTGTGTTATCGGTAACTTGTTGCATATTGGTCGATCCGTGATTAAGCTGTAAATAAAAATTTAAACGATCATTCATTTCGGAAAAAGATAATTGACGAACGAGTTACTATGTATTTGTTAATTATCGAAGTGATTTAATAACGTTTTATTACATCATGAAAGTATTTTAATCCGTGATCGTATAAAGAATGACTTTCAACAGTTTGATAATGGGACGACAAAGGAAAATCTTAATTACGTTCAATTACATTCCTATTCACATTCCTATTCAATGTAATGTCTGTATGTCTTTGTTTTAATATATAATTTTTTCACATTTATGGAGTTTATTGCAAATGGAAAAGTAAAATACCCAAATGTCTTTTAATTTTATTTTAAAGTTAGTATCTTACATTACATTTGAATAACAATAATAACTAGTTAACTTGTAAACCTTAATAATTAGCTTTAATATTCATAATACTTGTTTGATCTTGTTATGTACATCTAAAAGTCGCTCTAACTGAATAGAAGTGCAACGTTTAAAGTCTTTGGTCGTTAGGAAATGCTACTATATCTTATTCCGTCTTATATCTTTAATGTAATTTACGTAAGTAGCATCGCATGGTAATTTCACTGGTGTATAAATTACAATGTGCTCTATGTAGTTAGAAACTCGGTTAGAAAATTGTGTTACAGTTAGTTACAGAGCATAATGCAATTTTAATTTTGATTATCGACGAGGACAAGACATTAGACGGTATAATTTAGTTCATTCCCGTAACGATAATCGAAAATTGGCTTAATTATTAACAGTTAATTAGCTGAGAACCCAAACTTATTAAGCGTATTTGCATTGCGATACATTTTATTTGTATCGCGATTAATTATGACTCGATCAAGAATTTGGCCACTTAAGCATCAAATTTAAATTCCGGGCATGAATTTTAACTTTAATTTTACTTTTAAAGAAATTTTTGATTTCGAACACACAAATGCATTTCGAATGGTTTAATTTGGTTAAATAACTCGTTCACATTGAGTTACGCCTATTCACTCTCTATGTTATTAATTCTATCTTTCTTTACTTCATCGTGTTATTGGTGAGATTAAAATACAGCGTGTTAAAAAATAATGATCTAAAACGTTTGTTTTTAAATATTCTGCATATTTTCTCGAAGCATCACAACGTAGATAAATGCATTATCAAATTCGATTACATTAACTCGATCGTTTCTCTGCATCCATAACATTCACCGGGAGATCACTACCAACTTATTAATTCATGCTCGTCAATTGGAATGTGTCAAACAGAAGGACGGAATCCTCCCGAGTACCGCCACTGCTTAAAATATTGTTAATGTCATTAATGTCACTAGTAATCCATTGTTGAAACATTAATTATATGACAAACAATCACATCGAAATTTCACAACAAACCGGTAATCACGTGCTTGTTGATTCCTAGTTCCTTTTATTTTCTCTCATCCTCCACTTTCTCATCGAAAAATCTCTTGAGCGTGTAATTTTCGATTTCATGTTTTTCTTTCCTCTCGACCGTCCACAGATTTATAGCATTACACTCATTTTCTAATTACACAACCAGCATCGGTTGCTGTTTATTTTCATCCATTTTCTTTATTCACTATCAGACGAAGAGGCATTTTCTTGTAACTTATCTTTATGTGCGTCTCCATTACTTGTATACGAGACTTTACTATATCCGTACATTAGCGAATTCCTCCTTCGCAAATACCATTTGACAGCCACGTATAGAATTATCAAGGTGAATACGACGATGTTGATCGAGAACAAAATGGTCATCTGATAAAACCATAGGGTGGAGTGCATCGTCCACGAAAGCTCGCGAAGGATGCATACAGACTCGCCAAGGTTCATAGAAAGCTCGGCATCCTCGTGACAACTGGTGCACTCGGTATTCGAAGATCCTGAACAAGTTAGGCAGGAGTAATGGCAACTGGAGCAGACTGCCTTTGTCTCGTCAGAAATGCCGTAAGTTCCAGTTGGGCACTTGTACACGCAGATCCCATTGTTGTAGTACCAGTTCAGCTTACACTCTGGAAAATTACATAGGGTCTTTGACAATCTTCCATTCTTTGATTCTGTGTATGTGGGATATCTTGTTGAGTGTTGGTTCGTTTTAGTTCTGTGCGTGTGTTCTTACGATATGCCGAATAGCCTCGAAGACGAATGACAATGGTGAATTTATTCATGGTAGGTTTTAATTTACCTTGTAAAACATCTCGATCTTCGTTTTTTCGATTTAAACAAATTTTGATAAATATCTTTTATACAGAAAAAGCATAAAGAGTTAGTAAATTTGGAGTAAGCAATTCGTAATCACGTGAACGCTTCTTAGTCGATCTGTAAAGTTTTCAAATTATCTTGCAATGTAATTTGAATTTTCAAGTAATGTGCTTACTGAGAGTGAATTTGGAACAGTCTTCGGATAGGAGGTAGGTACGTTTAGAGCATCTTGATAAAGTTAATACCAATGTTGGTAAACCTATGCTCAACGGGAAACAACCGAGAAACCTGAATTACTGTTACAATTAATGGCGATGGAAACCGGAAGCGTATCTGATTCCTTGCAGTTTAGTTTCCCACATATTACCGGAACCTACCTTCTCCGTATTTAATTAATTTCATATCCAAGGCAAACATTTTTCCAACAGAACTGTCATCCATAGGTTGCTCATGGATATTTTGATGTTACTTGTGTGTTATTTTGTGTTCGTGTAGTTCGAGATGTAGGTACTTTAAATGTAGCTCTTATGTTAAGGAAAGTTACGTTAGAAAATTTTTCTACTTAAATATAAATATAGTCTACAACTAAGTACATAAGTATATGTGTGATAAGCGATATTCTATATTATAAATAAATATACATTCACTGTGTATTAGGCCTTGGTGAATTTTATCATAAACGCAGTAAACGATTTTTTTTTTAATTTTTATGTTATGGATACTTGTCACATTTTGTAAAGACAGATATTCAAAGCATATCCGGATTTTACGAATATATTCGCCCAGCCCTAATGTAAATCTATTTTGACATTTATTAAATACATATCACTATTTGCGTTATCTTTTAAAAAAACTAAGCACAGAAGATAAAATTATAAATTATTAATTTTGCCAATCATTATTTAACGTAACTATAAAATAACGTAAGGGTCAGGGTGCATGCTGAAGCATATATTTACTACGACATTTGAACGTCTTCCTTTAAGTTTAACAAGATACCAAATTTGTTTTCTTATGATCGAATGAAAAGAAAATACTTGCAGTTTGTAAATTTTTGAAAAGAAAAAATTACTAGAACACATTGTCGAAAATATTTAAATATAAAGTTCTCGATTCAAATCTGTATCTAGACATATTTCTATACAGATGCGCATTAAAATCTCTCAGAAATAAAAATCTTTGCATCTTGTTCAACGCTGAGCATAAAATTAATCTCGTTAATATTGAATTCATTAATAATTCAGCAAGCAATAAAGCGTAAAGAAAATGTCATTCCCGCAAAGAACAACTAGTTCAAGCACTATACAAGGAGCAAAAAAAAAGAAAACGGTGGAAAAGCAAAATTATTAATAAGACTTTTAGTGGAAAAAAGAAAGTTTAATGAATCGAAGTGAGTTGAATCCAGGCAAGTTGAATATAGTAAAGTAAGTAACATAATCAAAAGTTGAGAAAGTGTTTATCAAATTGTATATTATTAACACACTAATTCTGATATCTTCCATCAGTCACAAAATTAAATCTCTACACTTAGTAAAAATTTCTATTTCTGAACAAAAAAAGAAACATTGATGATCCGCGTTAATATTGCCTATGATTCGAGATACTTGATTCAAACCAGAACAATAAATTATAACCAGAGGATATAAATAGGAACATTATAGAACGATAGAGAAGTAAGACTCACCGTGCTGGTGAAGCGATCAGGGATAGGTCTTTTTATTTTGATTGGTTGTACGTGTGTGGTTGTGGATGTGGATGTGGTTGGTGATGGTGGTTGGTGATGGTGGTAGTTGGCTGGTCTGAGAAAATCCGCACCGCAACTCGCCCACGGAGAGCCCAAGTACCTAAATACGTTTTCAGAACCTGCTATGGAGTAGAGGGATAAAGCGACACGTGACACTTTAGGACAAATCTTTCTTTTTTAGTTCCGTCGAAGAAAAGAGAATTCAATTTTGATCTCCTGGATAAGCGATCACAATAATCTTTCCACTTTACTCGGATGGTTCTTAGGATTTCTTTTCTCTTTTCTTTTTTTTCTAAGAAAACTCGATTTATCGCGTGCAAATTGCTCCCAAAGTTTTCGTGAAACTTATTTTCTAAACTACGCGCGATCACGAACTCTTTTATCGATTGAATTTTTTAATCTTTTTTTCGATTTTTCAATCATCCTTTAATTTTCCAATTGATATCGTAGAGTCATAAATGGTCATGTTATTACAGAGATACTTTGCCGTTTACGTTACCTATTTGTGGGACGTTAAAAAGTTTATCTGCCAGACAGGACTATCGCAAATATTTGTTCAGTTCGAGGAAAGTGAGCAAAATACAAAACACATGCGAGATATGAGAAAGTAAAGTTGGAAGGATACAAAAGAAAGAGACAGTCGTAGAAATTGAACGCATCATTAGAAATCAACAAAGCGATGCCAGATTTGGAATAAAATTTTTATATGTATAAGTAATCAAGTTTTATGGAAACGTAATATATTGGCATACAAAGTGCGCGTTATGTTGATTGACATATAATTTATCTCAACTGTTTATGCGATAATTGCTGACGATCTTATTATTAGAAGAAACAAGAAATGAGAAAATTAATTAATGGTCGGATTAAAATTGCATTATTTCAAGAAACACTATATTTTCTTTAGTGTCAGTTATTTTTTTATAAAAATTAGTCTAGGTAATGTGCAACTCGTTAAACATAAATCTATAAACATAGATTATTATCAGAGTTTAGAAATTTTGAATCAGTTAATATGTAAGACGAGACATTAAAAATTGTATACATATATTACACATATTAAGAAAATACCAATGTACCATGTGCTATATATATTATAACATAATGGCGAAACAGTCACTTGTGCAGGAAAATCACATGCAAAATTGTGCAATGGTAAACCCATTTAACAAAACCTTTCACAGAAGCTTTGAAGATTCAGTGACGTACCAAATTTACGAAGTACAGAGTATGGACAAACTTTGTAATGAAATATCTTATTTGGAAAGAAATACTCTAGATACAATCTGACGTTTAATCATCTCTACGACAGTGTAAAATTCGAAAATGAATCTTGCCAATGATGACAAAGAACTGAAAACTTGGAATAATTTATATGCATAGTTTTGTATATATGTATATACAAGATTTCGTTAACCAGAGCTATTAGGTAATGTTGTTTAACCAGGCGCATTGCTAAATATTTTAATTATTCAAATGCTGGTATTATAGAGACCTTCTCAGAGTTCATGTTAAAGTTCACTGAATTATTCATGAAGTGCAAGCAGAAAACTTTCTGTATACACGAAAGTTAAATTAAAATCTATTTCTCTGTTAACTTTTAACTGATCCACCCTTGTGTAGCGTTTCCCATCTCCTGTGTCTCCGGTACTCTCAAATCTTCCCAGATCCCTTCATTAGCATTTAGTTTTCGGCGAGGTTTATCGCAAGTGGATGTTTAAATCCGTTCTTGATAACGCAATTAGTGGAAACGTTAGTGTACCTTTGGCTAACGTATTTATTAATAATATCTTGAAACGCGTAACCAATAGTTGATTAACAGTACTACGAATTATAAGTAATAAATTAATTTCCAATGGTACACAATTTGAGTTTGCTTTGCTTATAACTAAAAAAAAAATACATTATTGAATGCAAGAAACCTATGAACATTCGTAATTAAATTTCATTTGAGATTTCACTTTAAGATCTCAAGAACAGTATGATAGGACATTAAGTAATCCAGTGTAAGGTATTTCATCAAATATTTCGTACGTTTTTCTATTTTATTCTTTTGCGTATGAAATATTCAACGCTAAAGCAAAGAAACAGGTGTTATGTTACAAGTTTTTAGGTATCTTAGCTTTATAATACGATTCGCTTTAGCTATGAACAGTTCTTACAAAAGAATCACTTTTCATGCGACGATAAAATTCAGATCACATAACCACATAAAATTAAACATGCAAACCAATTATAGAGCTTTAGAACGTTGTCCACTATCCACAGAAAAATGGACAGAAGCATGCTTTATCGACACATACCTGTTTTCCCAATAAATAAAGAATCAGATTAGTGATTGCATCCTAGGGTTAATTAAATTATTAACATATCGAAGTAAGCTTTCTTTTTCTTTTCTTTTATAGAAAAATATCACTCGAGATGAATAACGTCTGGTAATATCTTGTTTAGGATATTCTCCTCTTTTAATTCATCCATGATATACAAATTTCAATGTCGCATATAATGATTCATAGTAGTTGCAATTACTTATACAATATATTATGTATACGTGTACATAAATGTACGTGGCAAGCCCTGAACGCCTTTTTCACCGCCGATTCTCTTCCTTCTCGTCGTTTTTTCATTGTATCACATTGCACAAAAAGGGTGTCACGAAGCAGAGCTTCGTTTCCTTTCCCGTCTAGTGACCTTTGATCGTTGTTTTACGGCTGAACAAGACGAACGAACGGGAAAGAAGAAAATGGCACGAGGTTGTGGACAAGTCAGGCAACCTTACATCTCGTTCTTCTTGTCTCAGAACTCTATAACTTAGGATATGTCGCCTTTTCAAGCAAAGATACATTTTACATTACATACAAACATTTACAATAGATACATTAACAATATGGTGGACTAAGCCCACTGCTGGACAGTTCCGAAGATCCGATTTGATAGAAATATTCGTTTAAGGAGTTTCATGGTTGGAAAATTAACCCTTGGACGGTAATGACTTGGTCATCTTTTGACCCAAACTAAGTAAAATTTCATTCTTTAAAATAATTTTCGGAAGACAAGAAGTTATGA